TTGGCAGAACTTGGATGATGTTACAGGGCTGCAGAGAGAGAGAAAGGTTTTGCACCGGGTCTCAACAGAGTACAATGTCTACAAATGTCATGTATTAATAAAGGTTTTACCACTTGTATTCATTAAGGTACAGATAACTAATTCAATTCATTAATTAAAATGTGTAGCTGCACCACTGTACAAAGTTTCTTTTTTGCAAGCATGAAGGCTAGACAAAGAAAGAAATGAATCTGAGAACTCTTCAGGACAGTAAGATGTACACTCAAGTATGGGCTCATAAAACAGATGCAGGAACTAGATAGTAAGAAGGCTAGATACATGTTATTTGAGGGACCACCTATCTTCTGTAGTGTCTGGCTGGCCAATTCGAGCTTACAAGGTTGGTCCAGTCTGGGTTCATTTGATTAAACAATTTCATTTATCAAGATCTCCTCTGTCACAGCATCTGCCCTCTGGAATGAGGTTCCCCCAGAGATTCAGATGCTCCCACCATGATGGCATTCTGGAGGGCCATAAAGACCTGACTGTTCTCCCAAGCCTTGGGCTAGGGTGGCTGGAGCTCCCTCTGCTGGATGTTAGATGTTGGTGGGATATTTTGGGGTATCTACCAGGTTCTTTCTTTTATAGTTTGTTTTGTTGTTGTTGTTATACATTGCTTCTTATTATATTCTTTTTATCTTGTTTAGTGTACCGTGAGCTGCCCAGAGTGGCTTGCAGTCAGGCCCCACCCAACTGAATCAAATAAATCAATAAAGCCATTACTTAAGCAGGAATGATCAGACTGGGTCTTGTGGGCAGGGGGAGGAGATGATGAGTTTTATTTGGGGAGCGGAAGTGTTGGAGGGCTTGCACACTTAGGAGAGCGCTGTTGCCAGAATTCACTCCTGCTCTGTCTGAGAAGAGCAGGAGCAAAGTCAAAGGTGGGTATGTTTCCAATGCGGTCTTACAGGAATCAGACTTTCAGCCTTTGTCAAGATCTGGATTGGACTGTGATCTAGACAGCACGTGGAGGAGATACCAGAGCACGATCTTATCCAGCCTTGGGAGCTTGTGATATTTATATTGAGGCAAGATTGCTGGTAGGCCCAGTGGAAGGCGCAGGGGATCTGGGAATCCAGCCAAGGCACTCATGACATGCATACCTAGGATTGGGTCCCCGTCCAGGCAGGATGGGCAAGGATCAAGTCCTTAGCAACTGTGGAAATTTAATTATTGGGCAGGGGGCTTATTTCTTGTCCAGTGCTAGTTCTATTACAACTATTTTTTTATGCTTGGGGAGGTGGATGGATCTCATGCAATTGTTCACTCTTTTGGAGGGTCTCACAATGAAAGGTCTGAAGGAAGACAGTATAAAATGGGTGCCCCCAAATCAACACTGGGAACGGGTTCTAAAGTTTAGAGAAAATTCCAGCTGAAACAACCCAGATGCCTATTTTCAATCTCACTTGATATAGAAGCCATTGACTCCACAGCTACTGATGAAATCGTAAGATTTGTCCAGTGGTTCTTCCGAAAGATAGCTGGAGCCATAACTGCTTTCAGGAACCACAAGGATATAATCCTGTAATAAAATAAATCCAAGTAGTAAAATAGCCTATTACTTATTCAAACATATGGTTTCTCATTTCGAAATCCAACTTCATATAGAAATGCTGTTCTTTACTGTGCTTTTTACTACTCTCTAGTAGTCACATAATGTACCTCAATATCTGTGACCTGGATATGCTGCATGAAAACTTATTTGCACAGATTTTCCAATCCTTCTTCTTGGATAAAGAAAGATAGAAGAGTAGACAATTACCTTAAAGGTTCCTTTATGGTAATAAAGGGTTTAGTCTGGGGTTCTAAGAAGGTGGTAATCCCAAACAAGCCAGAAAGACATGGATCTTGTCTTCATGAAGAGCGTTTGGTTTCTCCCCAAATTTACCTTAGTAGACTTACAAAACAGTCAAGAGAAAAGAGACAGAATCAAAAGTTGCTTGATTTGTCTTCTTTTATAACTCTGTGAATTTTTACTTAGATAAGTTTTGTAGATCTGTGGTTTGGATAGTTTCCTGATAGAAAGAAAGGTTGGATTACCAAAAAGGTGTTTCTCTAAGATGCCACAGTTAAAAGTAGCCAGCCAAAATAGAGGATTGGCATTTGAGAAGTGGGGGCAGGAACAATAGGAAGAAACTACAAGACTGTCTGTCATCTGTAGAATTTCTAAAAACCAAACCTTTATGGTCAGTGAGGAGCCATGAGCATAACTGTTTTTTGTTGTTGTTTAGTCGTTAAGTCGTGTCCGACTCTTCGTGACCCCATGAACCAT